ACAGTATAGTGTCCCCGTCACTATACTGGGGCGTTAGGACCCACACAGACCACAGGGTGAGCACCCCCTGCTGGCCTCACTAACACCTCTTCCAACAGCAACCTAGTTTTCCCAGGAGGTCTCCCATCCAGCTACTGACCAGGCTCAGCCCTGCTTAGCTTCAGTGGGTAACCAGTCTTGAGCTACAGGGTGATATGGCTGCCGGCAGATGACCCCCCAGTGTAACTATAATGGGGTCATTTATCCACAACAGAGAGTGGTCCGGGTGCTACACATACACAAACGCACATACATACATCTACAAAATAAGAGCTTGTTTATCCACACAGAGACACACACTGCCAAATTTGCCATAGCTTTCATGTATGCTGTGCTAAGCTAAATGTTACACAAACTCAGCAAAAAAAGAAATGTCCCTTTTCAGGATACTGTATTTTAAGGATAATTTTGTAAAATCCAAATAAGCTTTACAGATCTTTATTGTAAAGGGTTTAAACAATATTTTCATACTTGTTCAATGAGCATGCAACTTACGGTTTACAGGCAGTAGGCAATTAAGTTCACAGTTACAAAAATGCCTGTAATGTACGATTAAGAGTAGCCTAAGACAGTGCTACAGGGAGACAGGAAGGACAGCTGAATGTCCTTGCACTGCCAAATCACATATAACCATGTGTCCCCACATATGTGCAAGAACTTGCAAATGCCTTGGTGGAAGAGAGTAACATCTCACAGCACGGTAAATCTGGTGCTGGATGAGATGCTCTGTAGTAATTAAAGCAGCTGGTGGACACAGATACTCACTACGACTTTTGATATTATACTTACTACATATTTCATACTGATACTTATTTCATTTCTGTTCATAAAATGCCTGTGGAACGTGTTCAGTTTATGACTGAAGTTGTAAACCTGTTTTACTTTTTATAATAAAACAAATAATTACACATTAAGAAATTAGTTGGAAATTAAAGCAGTTGAAAGTGAGAGGACGTTTCTTTCTTGCTGAGTTTATAACGCGAACATTCATGTGCTATCAGGTTTGACTGTGTTGAATGATGAATTTTGTAAGGGGAATTTCGTTAAGATAAAAAAATAAACCTTTTTACAGAAATAAATTTGAGATAAGGGCAAATATGAGTAAACACAGAGAAGAAGCTAAGGAATGATGGGACACATTGCTGCAGTTAAGAGCATGCACAAACATCTAAATGTGTAAACTGCTGATACTTTCCGTAAAGATAAAACACATTTGAGCTTTTATAAGTACTTTAATTCTGACTATTGGCCAACAAACGGCAAACTCTCAGTTGTTTCGGTGTGGTTTCAAACATGATCCAAACTAATGGAGAAAACGCAGCACACTGTTAATCAATGCTTCAAACAAACTAGGAGTGAAAACACCCTTAAGACCATCCATATAATCAAGATCTCCTTCTCTCTCAAGAACTAATGCACATTCAAATAGCTTTTTGTCAAATGCAATAAACACACCAGCTCTCAGTTTCCTTTCAAATTTGTATTTGCATCAACAGACGTGTCAGCGTGTGTTACCTTCCTAAAGTGCCTGTATTTTCTGAATTAAACAGAATCAGGGATCCCTGTAGGATTCTCTGTGATAAATCTCCACCTTCATCACACACACACACGCACTTCAGTTCTGTTCCAACAGCAGGAAGGAGGACAACCTCATGCCAAAATACATCTGACTAGAAAATGAACTGAAGGTAACAGCATCTGACAGGACTGTAGTATGAACGGCATACGATTATGGTAA